ATTCCAGTGAAATATATTTATGTTTGTGGTTGTAATGTGACAAAATATGGAAAAGTTCAAGGGGTATGAATACTTTTGCAAACCACTGTAACTCTCAGCGTCTTGCTTCTTTTCCAGATTTTAGCCCTTTTCCATATATCTTTGGGTCAGCAGCTCAACCTGCACTGGGTTCACAAGGTTCTGTGAAATCTACTCTGTTATTTCTCTCATATCAGAAGGTACAATGTGTGTGTTCATAACCTGATGTCTCCTCTCCACAGATTGGAGTGCTGGCTACACTGCTCACCACCATCTCTGGTGTTGTCTCTGTTGATGACATTTGGCGAGATGAATGGAATGTCCTGCTTGTATCGCTACAGGTTGGTCTACAATCCAAAGCATTCAAATAGGAACTAATCTATACAATCATAAAACTTTAATTTATTACTGACATAAGAGAACATGACTTGGTAAATACCTACATACTAAAGTTTAAATACACTAAGATTGCCATGCCTTTAAACAATTTGGGACATTTGATGTCATGTCTTTGGAAGCTTCTGATAGGTTTATTGATAACATCTAAGTTCATTAGAGACACCTATGGATGTAATTTTGGACACACCTGGAACACACTGCTTCCTTCTATAATATCATGGAAAAGTCTAAAGAAATCAGCCAACATTTCAGGAAGAGAATTGTGGACCTGTACAAGTCTGGTTCATCCTTGGGTGCAATTTCCAGATGGCTGAAGGTGCTTTGTTCATCTGTACAAACAATTGTACTCAAGTACAAACAAGATGGGGATGTCCAGCCACCATACTGCTCAGAAAGGAGATGGCTTCTGTGTCCCAGAGATGAATGAGCTTTGGTCTGAAATGTGCATCAACCCACGAACAAAAGCAAAAGAGCTGGTGAAGATTCTTGCTGAAGCTGGTAAGAGTGTCATTATCCACAGAGAAACCAGTCCTGTATCCACATGAGCTGAAAGACCACTCTGCCAGGAAGAAGACTTCAAAAGAAACACAAAAAAGACAGATTAATGTGCACAAAGACCTTCATTTTTGGAGACATGTCCTGTTGTCTGACCAAACTAAAACTGAACTGTTTGACCACAATTACCATTGTTACATTTGGAGGGAAAAAGAGAAAACTTGCAGCCTGAGAACACCATCCTGACTGTGAAACACGGAGGTGGCAGCATTATGTTGTGGGCTTCTTTTCCTGCAGCAGGGACTGGAGCAGTTCACAAAAACAACATCTGAAGACATCAGCCAGGAAGTTAAAGCTTGAAAACAAATGGGTCTTCCAAATGGACAATGAGCTAAAGCAGACTGCCAAACTGGTTACAAAGTGGCTCAAGGAGAATAAAGTCAATGGGCCTCATGCAAGAACATGTTCGTATTTTTATCCTAAATTTCTCTTACTTTTGTTCGTACAAAGGGTTCGTACGAACATGTCACGTCAGATTCAACAA